GCAGAAATGTTCAGCAATGAAACCACCCATCTTCATAACTTAAATGTCTTTTTTTCAATATTGTGCACTCTTTCCAACAATGCAATTCTCCAAATTACCAATGAACACGAAATTAGTATCACATTAGCGCCCATTGATAGGAAACGAAACAATCCAGTAGACATATTCTATATGAGGGGTCCTTGGTGCTCTCTGAGCTTGCTTGTTTCCTTGCAGACGTTTCATATCCAACTAGGTAGGATCATCAGTGCTAGTAGGGAGTGAGGTTTGCTCTCATTTTATATTCTGGTGGTCTGTCCTGTCAGTGTTGGTAGTACTTTGGTTGGATTGTTTACTGTTAAGCTTATTTGGCAGTTTCTTTAATGGGGTATTGTTTACTTCTTGTTTGTTGGTCTGATGTTAATCTTGGTGTTAATCTCTTCTCTTCTGGGTGTTGATTGCTGGTCTCTTCCCATTTTTGGTTTGTTGATTGTCTCTTTTGAATGGTATGTAGATGTCATTTATGTCTATGTGCCCATTGATGGCTGATTTGTCAGAGTGTCAGGTTTCCAAGTATTCCCTAGCATTTGGGGGCTTGGCTTGGTCTAGGATGGTCAGTTTCCCAGTTGAAACTATGATTAAATCTGTCCACGTGTTGTGAAACTAAGGAATTTTCATCATGTCTTCTGACCGCTAGTTAGTTCATGGATGCACTCTGCCAGTCTTCTGCCTGTTTGTTATACATAGTGGCTGATGCAGTCCTTACACTGCATGTTGTAAATGACTCCTGTTTTTTCTTCATAAATACCAGAGATTAACATTTATTTTTAAAATTATTTTAGGCCTGCTTTAAATGTTATGCCACTGTTTTTAGTGCTTCTCTCTTCAAAATGGCAGGAAATCTATCAATTTTCATAGACCGCAGTCAGACTTGATTCTGGGAACCTCTAAAAAGAAGTTTTCAGGTTAAAGAAGGCCTGCAGTTTTCCATTTCTGAGTTCAGCCATGGTTTGCTTTAGACATGGCTTACTGAATAATTACCATTCATAAAGCATAATAACCTAAAACCAATAGAACCACATTATGGTTTAGAATGCTATGTGAACACAGCCTTTCGATGCCTTCATGGCAATCATATCCTTCCCTCAAAAATGTTCTGTGTTCCCAAACGGTTCAGGCAACTAAACAGAACACAGAATCTCCCTCGTTCTCTCAAATAGGAGCTGCTTCTGGAGAGTTAATCAGAAAGGGTCTAGGACAAATCATCATGGCCAACTAACTACAGCCATGTTGCCTTGGTCAGCTCGCCCCAGACAACTCACTGCAAGACAACAGCCATGGCCAACTTGCCAAGGTACAACTCGCTGAGGAACAATCTGACGCTATACTGTTTCATTCAGTTATTTTTATTATTATTGGTGACCAGGTTTTCATTGAATTATTGTAACTCTTGTATTTCTGGATTGACTTTATTTTATTATGATTGGACACAGTTCCATTGAAATTAATTTAATCTTTGCGTTTGTTGAATCATCCTGCAGTGAGTGGGCCATGGTGAGGTGTCCCATTCCAAATCAAAAAGAGGCAAGTTGCATAAGTAGGAAGATAAGATTTATTCCTTTCTCTCTCATAAAAAGATTTCATACCAAAGTTTTCCTGTGAGAGAAGCCCTGACTGGCACCAATAAAATGAAAAATACAGGCAGACTGATGCCTTGAATCAGTCCTTCTGATTTAAGAGAAATTCATACAACTACACTGACAAGTTAAGAGCATAGACAGAATTGCTCCTTGCAGAATGATGCATCTGGTTTAGCAATTACCCAGCTGTAGTCATCCACCACTGAATACTCTCTGAAATAAATTTTCAATTTGTCAGTTTAATTGTGTGAATTGTTCCGCTCATCATTTCCCAGTCATATTCTTGCTTTTCCTTTACTCATTTTAGTACATGACAAAACCACTTCATGCAAATGAAAATTGGGCAGCTATACCACAGCTACCCAGATGATTTTTTTTTTTGTAATGGAATCATAGAAGTAGGCTATTCCTTGCAATGCTTCGGCCCATCTAATGCTCAATGAAACACAAAACATGAACTCTGAATATAGAATCCTTAAGAAGGAGAAAGGATCAGTGCACTTTTGAGACATAGGAGATGATAGTAGAGTGATTTCTGTAGAGCAGTGTTTCTCAATCTCTGCAATTTTAAGACATATGAACTTCAACTCCCAGAATTTCCTATCCAGCATGCACTGGCTAAGGAATTCTGGGAATTGAAGTTCACACATCTTAAAGTTGCAAAAATAATGCTGTAAATCAAATTTGTTCCAGCAACTGGAGTCTAATGCATGTATCTTATTTGTTGTTCATCTCATACATAATCTAAGATTCCCCAGCTTCATTCCATGCACATACTCTCAGTTCACTAAACAGGATATGTCCCAGGCATTATGGAATTTATCCAGATGGAGCATTATTCCAGCTTTTCAGAGATGAAATATGTGTGAAAACAACCTTTCATGTGTACAACTGAAGTAATATTTAATTGTTGGGCAAACTTTTAAAAATTGCTCTATGTAGCACTAAACCTAGATGTCTCTTTAAATGAAAATATAATTTTCTAACTGGAGTAGAGCTATAGCAGAACAGTGCATAACCATGACTTCTTTATAGGTATGAAATTACTTGGACTAAGGGTAATCTGTACTCAGTGGGATGCTCACTGGAGAAAGCAATTATGTTGGGAAAAGTTAGCAATAAAAGGAAACCAGGCTGCCAAAGAACATGATGGCTGGACACCATCAAAACTGACACCAACCAGAGCATAGAGAAACTCAAAGAAACAGTGCAAGATTGGAAGATGTGGAAAAACCTGGCCCATAGAATCGCCGAGAGTCAGACACAACTGAATGGATAACATCATCATCATCAAACTGGATGCATCTTTTCTTCTGTATTGCACCAAGGGATAATGGGATTGCCTTGATTTTGGTATAACGTGATGTGTGAATCCATGGTTCCCAAAACATCATTTATGACTTAACGCATTGTGAGAACCAATTAACTGTGATTTATGCTTAAATCTGTGTGTGTAATTGCAGTCGCTGACTTGTCAGTCTCAAACTACATCTTTTTGTCTCTAACTTGGAAAAATGGCAAAATATGATTAAAGCTTCCATTGAAAAACATATAGTTCAAATAAAGTGTTATGTTATACGTCTAACTTTACCTTCTCCTCTATAGGCCATGCACAGATGCAGACACAGTAACAGGTTAAGTTTGATCAAATTCTTATTTTTAATGGGGAGGGAAGTTTGCATGTGTAAATCTGCCACAGAATGAATGACACTAATTCAGTGAAATACAGTTTTTTAAAATATATATATATATACTGTACATAGATTTGCCTACTTTTTTAAAAAAAAAAAGCACAAACATTATTATTCCTTATTTGATTTATATGGGTACCTCTCCAACTAGAGCATAAGGCAACATATCAGATTTGGAGCAAGATATAAAATACTTTAGAAACACAAACCCACTCACCCACACAGAAGATAGCAACAGCCACCTGAGTGTTTTGCTTTATGGGCAAAAAAAAAAAAAAACAAGTCTAAGAACAAGCAACTACTTTGTCTCCTTGCAGTAGAGTCTCATAATATTTCTAACTGCCAGTTGTATTACTTTGTGTAATCCGAATCTCTAGAGCATTATAAAGTACTCATGAATAAATTTATACACAGCTCATCTTCCAAGTTTCATTGCCAACACTGGATTCTGCTTGTGTTTGCACTCAGAGTGTGGGCTAAATTGTCAGATGTTTTCTAAATAACATGCATTTTCTAACAATGGAAAGCATTTGGTGAGCACTTGCTTTGTGTCTTAGCTGATTTCTAAGCAAGTAAGTTTAAGGGGAGGACAAATAAGGTTATAAGAAAAAGGATTAAGATTTTTTAGTAAAAAAAAGAAATCAGAAATAGTTGGAACTAAGAAAGTCCAAGTCTTCCACTATGATAAGTAAAGAAACCTTGGGCACATCCTAATACATCACTCTTACTTCTTTTTTTAACCCACTCGTTTCCCCTGTGGATCTCTCTCTTTATCCTCCTATCACACTTGGTTACGGAGGGATCCTAAGCAAAAACAAGTTGATCTTTTGCCAGTTTTCTATTTAGATTGCAATGAGCTAAGTAATCAAGAGAGATGCTAGGAACAACAATAAATAAAAAATGGTCCTGCCAAGCAAAGTTCTAACATATTCCCCACAAAACCCGACAGCTAGAAGTCCAGGAAAAAAACTGATTTTGCAGAAATGTTGCATTCACAGCGACCTATTTCATGGATGCATAATACCTGATACAAATATCTTCTACCAAAGCAATTCTGTCAAATTCATTTCAAAGAAGGAAGGTACTATTTAGTTTCCTTGCATATGTGAGTGGATCAATACTGATGTTAGTTGTCTGGATTGCCCTGTTGTTTATTTCTCTTGCTGCATTTCTATTTATTTGTTGTGTTTAGATTGTTTTTACATAGTAGGCCACCCAACATCAGGGTGGAATTGGGTTCTGCCAAAGTTCACTTAAATGGATAAATAAATAATCACTATCATTTCCACCGTATTAAACCTCTGTGATTCCAAATCACATCACCAAAATTCAGCTGTCAAATTTTGAAGAAAATTTGGAGGAGAAATTAACTTAAAACTGAATTTGTTTGCTTTCCAATTCCTATTCCTTTCCTTAAATTCCAGAAAAAGAAGAGCTGGTTGGAGGTTCCTTCTCCCTAATTTATCAAGATTTCTTGAATAATCTGCAATTATTTGGGGCAATCCATTAAGCCATAAATCATGGTTTTAAAACACAGTGTCCAGAGTCATACAGTATGCTAGGGCAGCATGAACAAGCATGGTTTAGCATTAGTCAAGTGTCTGTCTATCCAAAATCTTCCATAAAAAGAATATACTACATGTGTTTGAAATGCAAATGTAAACTTCAGTGTGGAGGAAAGTTTATTTACCTTAAATGCTACAAAACAATGTAGACAAAGGACAAACATCACGAATGCAAGGATCAGGGTAGCAAAATTCCTCAGATCCCAGATTGATTCAACCAGAGGAATACTCCCAACCTGCCAATCATAGCACAGCGTAATTGGGGCTAGTAGAAGCCAGGCATTGAAGGCCAGGAGGTAGGAATAAGTAAGAAACCTGCAAAAAGAAATACACAATTAAACAATCTGCGTGTTTCTTCAGTGGAAGGCAGAAAGTTCAATAGGACTATGCAATACTTCAGATTCAGCCCCCAAAAACTGATTAACAAAGCAGTCATTAAGTGAGCCACAAATGATTTTATTATCTTTTTGCTGCAGTCATTAAGCAAATCACACAGTCATTAAGTGACTCCAGCTTCCCCCATTTGTCAATGGAAAAGTCGCAGATGACAATCATATATGATCCCGGGATGCTGCAATCGTCATAAATACATGCTGGTTACCAAGAACCCAAATAGTGATTGCATGACTGTTGGGATGCTGAAATGGTCATCAGTGGAAGGACCAGTCATAAGTCACCGTTTTCAACGATGCCTTAACTTTGAAGGGTTGCTAAATGAATGGTCACAAATCAAGGACTAACTGTTATATTCAGGATCCTGCATGTTCCAAAACACTTTTAGGAGACTAGCTCCAAAAAATGTCTGGTCCTACTGTTCAGGTTCTAAGCACATACAGACTGAGTTAATGTTAATCATGGAGTGCTGAGTCAGTCCCAATGCCTGCATTCACTTACTATGCTAAGTCAAGCACATGACAGCTTAGCATACTGTGTACCAGGGGTAGGCAATCTTGGCTTTTTTATGACTTGTGGACTTCAACACCCAGAATTCCTGAGTCAGCCATGCTGAGGGGAAAGGGAGAGGTTTCCAAGCTGAGCCATGCTGGCTCAGGAATTCTGGGAGTTGAAGTCCATGAGTCATAAAAGAGCCAAGGTTGCCTACCCCCGGTGTAGACCTACATCACATTGAGCTTCTTGGAGAAAATACAGAGTATGAGCATAAAGTGTGAAAATGTATTACTCATATATTATTTTTCTTTAAATTTAAAACTTAAGATATACAGTGATTTTAAAATATTTACTTTTTTATAAAAATATTAGCTAACATAGAGATAAAAGTCACCATAGGGGAGATTTCAGAGAAATAATAAACAATAGATACTACAATTACAATTACAATACAAAGCTATTCTAAGGTAACAGAAACCGTATATTTACATGGGGGGCCTCTCGTCCCATCCATACAGGACAGACAGGACAGTGGTAGGAGAGGCAATTCATCATGACAAGTGTGTATCTCGAGTTCTTTAGCAACCCAGGTCTTGGGTTCCTTCTTCCCGTTCAACACTGGAAATGGTGCCAGAGCACATAAATATTGGATGTTTTTCTTATGGACTAGCTAGGCTACTTATGTTTTATATTAAAAACCAATTTTATATGGTGTGGTAATATAGTATGTGCAAACTGAAGAGGAAGCAAAGATTGCAATGTTAACCCCAGCAACACACGGGAACCATTACAGGAACCAGGAAATCAGAGAAAGTCTCCTATGTAATTAAAACTTTTAAATATAGTTGAGACAGCACTATATTATGTGAAGCCAGCAAGTGTCTGAGTTCTGCAAATGTTCTTATGTACTCATCATATAAATATAAAAACACGATATCCAGAGTTTCTCTTCTTCCCGTTGTTTGTGAAAAGGGGTATTAGATTTGTTCAATACTTCATACATCTTCTCAGAAATTGTACTTAACAAAAACATGAAAAATATAGATATCAACTCAATGCCTTTTCATTGTTTTGTTGGGCCTTGGGACTTCTTAAATTCCTCTCATACCATCTGTCAACTTCTGTTGATTGACTTATTCCCAGATTCTAAAACATTCATCACACGCTGTTCATAACTGTCTGGTTTACATCTCAGCTCATCACAACAGGAAATTTCTTCATTACATTACTTTTTTTGCCAAATAATGAAAGTTCTTGTTAAATTTGAACAATTTAGAATTGATTTGCCAAACATCACAGTAGGAACCAAAGAAAGCTCATATTGATTCATTGCAAGCATGTTTGAAAACTCATGAATTCTATTTGTGAACTACCTTCCCGTTTTAATTGTGGTGGATCAAAATCTAAGATAGTCTACAACAAGGGTACTAAACCGAGAGCCAGAGAACCAAGACCCTAAGAATTACTACATGAGGGTTTCTTTAGTGCCTCTTCCATTGCTTTGCAAAACATATTGAAGACTTGAAGCATATCTCCGTGGCTAATGCATTTGGTATCACTGATATAAGCAACCTAAGGAAAAAAAACACAATAAATTGAGGTCTGCTAAGGACACAGGGCTATAATTGGATATGAAAAATAACAAATGCATGTTTGAAAATGAATATCAAATCTGTATATACTCCCACCTGCCTCTGGACAAGAAACACAAAAAACTAATTACTATAGAGAGAATAATATAGAGAAAAGCTTTATAATAGCTTCCAGCACAGGCTGTTTTCCTGGGATGAGCTACAGATACTTGAGAAATTTCACTGCTGGATTACATATTCCAGAGATGCAGGTCTAATCTAACTGAATGCTGCTTTTTTATGTTTGTAAAAAGATAAAAGTTTTCCTTGCCAGTTGTGCCCGGCTCTAGGGCATGGTGCTCATCTCCAGATTTCTTGGCTAAAGGAGCCAGCATTGTCTGAAGACACTTCCGTGGTCATATGACCAGCACGGGTATATGCTGAAGGCACATGGAACGCTGTTACCTTCCCACCGGAGTGGTACCTATTAATCTACTTGCATTTGCATCCTTTCAAACTGCTAAGTGGGCAGAAACTGAGGGAAGGACAGGAGTTCACCCCGTTGCACAGAGCTTGGGTCTCGAATCCAGGCTATCAGCTCTCCAGATGACAAGCTCAGTATCTTTATTGGCTGGAAAGCATTATCCCAATACTTCTAGAGCAGTGGTTCTCAACCTTTCTAATGTCGCGACCCCATAATACAGTTCCCCATGTTGTGGTGACCCCCAACCACTTATACATCACCGGGTGCCAGGAGCGTGGCCAAAGAAAAGGGGGAAAAATGGCGGACAGCCTTGTTTGGTGACCTCCGTGAAATGGTCGTTCGACCCCAAATGGGGTCCTGACCCACAGGTTGAGAACCACTGTTCTAGAGTCTTTGAACAAATATCCTGAAACCTGTACTGATAAAGATTCCAGGGAGTCCTCGACTTTCAATCATTCTTTTAGCGAACATTTATACAGCAGCACTGAAAAGTTAAGAATAGCATCAGTTCTTACATTTACAACCATCGCAAAATCCCATTGTCACATGATCAAAATTTCAGCTCTTGGCAATGGGCAATGCGTCAAGCAATCAGCCATTGGCAATCTTCCTAGCTGGTTTCTGACCAGTGAAGTCAATGGGGGAAGATGGATTCACTTAACAGCCGTATTATTCGCTTAATTGCCACAGTAGCTTACTTAACAACTGTAGCAAAAAAAAAATCATAAAATCAGGTGTGACTCACTTAACAATTATGGAAATTATAGTCCCAACTGTGGTCCCAGAAGGGATGCATAAAGGATGCACAAAAAATGGGAAAAAAAGGTAACAATTGTAACCACTTGAAAAAAGAGCTTGAGGGGAACTTAAAAAAGACAGAATGTTTTGATTTCAGAAATGTTTTTAAATAAAAGCTTAGTGTTTTAAAATGGATGAAAAAAGGTATTTTTTTCCCTTTAAGGTAAAGGAATCTGAAAGAATACAGTGAATTTTGTTAATATAAATGGTGATAGTTTATAAAGATTATTAAGCATAATATTATTTCAACAACAGAAATGGTTAAATTGATTGTTCTATTCAAAGAGAAGAATACACAATATTTATGTTTTTTATTTGGTTATCACTTCTGGATTTTGTGCTTGTGATTAAAAAAAATGAAACTTTGACTTTGGTTATGATGATTAGATAAGATTTGTTATAGAAATGGCTAGTTATATACTAATGTATAAAAGTAAAAACTTGAGGCTGTAATGTTGTTATCTTGTACTGTGCTAAAAAGAGTCAGAAGTCAATGCCTTTTTCTTTCTTGCCTTGAACTTCATATCTTCTTTCCCCTTTTCTTTTTTCTTCCCTTAATTTCCTATTTTTATTTTTCTTCGTATTTTATACATTGGTAAAACAATAAGAGTGTAAGATAAAAAAGAAAAGAAAAGAGGCTTCCTATGAGTTCCTGTGTACATTACGGACCCCTACAAAAGGTTTGCACAGCTGTGTGTGTATGTGTATGTGTGTCTATATGCAGATTAACAGAACAGTACACCAGTTCAGATATAACCGCATCTACATAGACATACAGGAGAAGTTATGATGATTAACTTTTGAAAATGATTTATTTGACCAAGATAAGTATGCCAGCAATACCAGGGAAGAGAAAGCTGGGTTATCTAACAGCAGTGCCTCAACCTAAACCAATTCAGCTAAGATAGAAAGCCCATAAATAACAGAACTTGGTTACAATTGCAGCCACAGTGCTTTATAACCTTATTATAAAGTGCTTTATCAGACGCAGTTGATTTAGAGCCTATGCAAAAGATAAAAACACCCCTGAGAAAAAAGCTCTCAGTGTTAAGTAGCAAAGAAAAATTATTATTCTGACTGAAAACCATTACAGTAGTCTTCCTGTGTTGGGTAGCTTAACATTCTGTTGGTTATCTAAGAAAGGAAACACGTGGATCTTTAAAAGGAGATGTCAGGATAAACCTATTTCAGATCAGGTCAAAGAACACAGAATACTGAAGGTTTGCATTGCAATGCCTTCTGTCCTCCAGAGATGGGACCTCAATTGTATTCTGAGGATTAGCCTGGAAAAAAGGCTTCCCCACGATCATTTTCACAGAGTGCAAATTTAAAACATGATAACGTAGCATGGATTTTCCTCTTCTTTCATAGAAATACCTAATTTAAACAAGGACCCAATAGGACCATCCCTTAAAACAGCCCTTTGAGAGGAATCCTAATAGGTATTTAAAACCAGCAGCTGCATGGTTTTAATGTGATGAATTATTATCTGGGGATAATACAGTGGGCAATTTTCTGAAGCTGCAAGAGTTACCTCTGGTAATGGAACTTGAGCTACTACAAATTTGAGGCAAAGAAAGAAAACAAAAGATAGGGAAAAGATCAGGAAAAAACCTCCAAAGATGTGTGGCTTCTTCTCAAGAGATCCGATTTCTAAAATCTCTTGGGTATTTTGACATACATTGCTTCCTCTTTTAAGTTTATAAATGCCTGCCCTAAATTTGGCGGAAATTGTTTATATTATAGTTTCCTCCAGTGCTTTTTTTGTGTAAAAAAAAAAAGGTGCCAGAACTCACACATGTCATACAAACCGCCTTGCCTACCCTACAAGGTTCCATCCCAAAAAGGTGCCAGAACTCGGTTCTGGGCGTTTTGTGAGAAAAAAAGCCCTGGTTTCTTCCCTTGCTGCAGCAATCATAGCTTAAACTGCCTTGCTGGCTTGCTCTGAAGAGGGCAAATAACTCTGCTTTTTATTCTCTGAATTCCATGGAGAGATGGTGGTGCACAATCCCATAAATATACAGCAAAGCATTTATTAAGCTTTTATCCAAGCTGATAGTACTTATATGTCTTGTATCACTTAGCAGGGACAGCACCCAGATGGCCTTTTCAAATCCTGGCAAATAATCAGGATGGATCCTGATTAATATTTGGATGGCCTTGAACATCAGATCTGTAGTTTACAAAGCTTACTAAATATTCTGCATAATCAAAGTCTTTGAACTAGGCTTTTCCCCCATATTAAATTCTCCTGTGAATGAGAAAGCCCTCTTTTCTGATAATCTTTTTCTGAGGACATTCAGAGGATGCTAAAAAGATTTGGGGATCTCTGATTTATATAAAACATCCAAGAATCCCCAAAATAAAGATTGTTAAAATCAATAATGTGATGTGGAGGATCACACAGCCCATTCTTGAAGGCTAAATTCGAATGAAACAAACAGATAATTGCTGTAGGAGCAGGTGGCTGATAATCACATTTAACACATTATCAAAATATACTAGTGTAACTTATGAATTTCAAAGCATTCAAGATATATTTTGGAACTGGTACTATTCACATGCGAAAGTCCCCAAATGTCACCTTTGGGAGAGTTCCTGAAATATTTACACTGAGATGATTTAATGGCAATGAGTTTAAACTCCTAGGAATAACAGAACTGCTGAGTTCATTTTAATAAATGCACTTTTTCAGGGGAAAAGTGACAAGGCATATAGACTAAATTTGGATTGTATTTGCTTTATATTGAAAAGAAGTAAATCCCAACTGAGTACCTTGTAAGAAGATACGGTGAGAATGAAGCTGGATTGTCCTGCTCTGAAAAGGCTGGCATGGAACCTCCCATTATCCATAGGCGAAAATACATAAGTAGGATCCCCTTCAGATAAGAAGAGTAAATTCTTAGATTATTAGAGAGAAATCCAATTGCACATGGCCAGAAAACCTAAGTCTATTACAACACTTCATTGTTATTGGTCACCCCATTGCATCACCAGTGTCAAGTGATAAGCTATCATTCCAAACTTAAATGGCGATTCTTTATTATTTCCAAAATACAAAAATGGGGGTGGGGTGGGATGGAGAAGAGAATAATTTGAAGGTTGGTTAACCATTGAAAAACTGCCAAGTAGTCTTACATATATTTTATTGGGTGAATTAATGAGCTGTTTCTAGAGTGGAGCAGTTTGGATATAATACAATTCAGCTTTCTGGTCAGCTAGCAAAAGGAACTTCTACCTGAGCTTCGATTGATCAAAAAAGATTTGTGATGCTGAAAGTATCTTCATCTTAACCAGCATGTCTTTGAATTATGGCTATCCTGCTGAATTCATTTATTCTTCACACTCAGGTACTAATAGAACATAATTCAACTGAAGACATTCAAGAAATAAAAAAATGATTTATAGCAATACTTACATAGGTAAGTACCAAGGCAGCCCTCTTTAAAAAAGGTCTTGTGGAATATAAGAATTTCTGCTTGTTACTCGCTGTCAGGTAACTAAAATACAGCAGAAGAAAAAGAAAATTATGATTTTTATAAATTTCAGAATTTGTGGACATTAATACTTTGTTAATTTATTTATAGAGTGATTTTTCCACTGACGAGTGTAAGATATTCACAGTTTAAAATAATGGCTTTCAGGCCAATGTAAAGAAACATAAGTAGAAAAAAAATAAGTAGGCTTCATTATCATAGCAACACATAAGATAATTCTCAAAGTATGAAGGAGTCAAACAGCAATTAGTAACAGCCAGATTGCTGAGTGCTCTTGCTTCTCACTTCTTAAGCATTCATAGTATACTGTATCTCTGAATCTTTAGGCAGAACCAGCAGTCATGTAAGTAATATCTATAGTTCAGCTGTGCATATCACATGGGCTAGATTTATGTTTTCACTCAATAATTTGTATTTTATATTTTGATAAACTAATAAAAATTATAAAAAAATAATTGAAATGTATTCTTCAGAAGGGCCAGAAGTGTCCAGAAGTGTGTAAACACTGTAAACATCTTGGCTCTTTATGCCATATGCTAAATAAATAAATAATAATCCTGTTTCTTCAAAGTCTAACAAAGAATGACTTGCACAATTCTGATCTTTGTTGTTGAACTGGAGAAGAAAGTATATGTGCACAAGACTCTATCAAGATCTGAGATGTTCCAGGTCAAGTTAGGAATGGATCGAGAATTCTTTGAAAGTGTTTGTATTCCCTTTGGCCACCGAATGGTTATGGGAGAGAACATCTTGGTCCAATGAACAACTGCCAAATGCTCATGACTTGTTGTATGAGGTAACCCAGCAATCAAACTGAAGCAATCCAGCATGATGTATAAAAAGAATGCTGGAAGGAAATAAAAAAACCAAAGTTCCATCTTCCACTCCATTAAGGTTCCTCTCAAACTGCACTGTCGGGACTTTCCATGTCCTTTTGTCACCTAGCCAATCCAAAGAAGAATCTCAGATATATGTGAGATTTGAATGACAGAGAAATAAAGAGAAAAAATGTAGTACGCTTATGTTGCTAAAATAAAACTTTTAAAATTTACTGGTAGTCTCCTGGAATTATTGGGTAGCATACCGTGAATTTATTCTGATGTCAGACAAATGATTCCTGATTCTATAAAAACACTCAGATTCCTTTTCAATGAATCAATATTTAAGCATCATATTACAGTACGTTTGCATTTGATCTTGGCATCTTTGTCAAGTATCTCATTAGACTGAAATGCTCTTATCTTACAAAATTCAAAAGTCTGCTTTTGTCAAGCAATCAATAGCTCCCATTTTAAGATTATTTCTAGCAAGTGTTACTATTTTGGTGCAGAGTTATTAGGATCTGAACAGATCCTTCTCCACCATTTCTCCTCTGTGTGCTTTTTAAATGGACACCCAAAATAAAGTGTATTCTGTAAAACCTTATACATTTTTATGACTTAAGCAACCAGAATAATAATAGAGTTGAAAGATATCTTGGAGGTCTTCTAGTCCAATCCCCTGCTCAGGCAGGAAACCCTATATATATAGGTTTGGATAGACTGGCTGTCCAATCTCTTCTTAATAACTTCCATTGTTGGAGCACCCACAACTTCTGGAGACAAATTATTCCACTTGTTAATTGTCTCACTGTCAGGAAATTTCTCCTTAGTTCTAGGTTGCTTCTCTCATAAGAACTAATTCCAGCAAGGACTACTCTATCCTATCAGAATTGCAGGTGGCAAAGGAACAAAGTGAGTGCCAAAGGTGCTTTTTCATGAGCAACTGGACTTTCTTGTTTTCTTAAAAGACGTTTCGCTTCTCATCTAAGAAGCTTCTTCAGCTCTGACTGGATGGTGGGGAATGGAAGGATTTATATTCCATGCAGGCAGCTGGTCATTTGCATTCTTTTAGAGACTCTTTGAGACCAACTGGAGGTTTATCTGTGTCATATAAATCCTTCCGTTCCCCACCATCCAGTCAGAGCTGAAGAAACTTCTTGGATGAGAATGAAACGTCTTCAAAGAAAAAACAAGAAACTCCAGTTGCCTCGTGAAAAAGCACCTTTGGGATAACTATGACTTGGATGACTGAGAATCACCACAGACATTGAACAAAGTGAACAAGAAATGTTGCAAGATGTTCTCCCCTGTCAATGGCATCATTTATTCTAGTTGAGAATGTGCCATGAAATGCTCTCTATTTCTGTCAAACTTGTCCTCTTCTTAAGCACCAAGTAGTTCCTTAAGTTCTCTACAGATACATGAGAGGGGGATACAGCCTAGCGAGCTCTGCCCTACAGATTAGCTTACTAGTATCCTGAGTAATATTTCTCTTCTAATTATGCAATCTACAAATAAATACCTTGGGTGTTTCCCGAAACCCAGCCTAGCGTCCTGGTTACTTTCCATGGCATATTTACTAGGTGAAACTCACTATCGCCTTGAAAATGCAAGTATTTTCTATGAACCAGGCACTCAAAGCAGAGATCAAGTGTGGCAGATTATTGTCTCTCTGAAGAGGAAATTACATCAGGCCTTCACTAACTTGGGGCATCCACATGCAAATCCAGTGTTTTAAGATTTAGTGAGCCAATCCCTGGCATGATCCACATCAGCACTGCTGTTTTCTTAGTTCCATCTCCTCAGTAGCAACCAGAGGAAGTCTTTTGAAAATCCTTCTGCTCAGAAATCTCAGACTCTCAAAAATGCAGCAACTGAGCTTGTTAAAAATCTCCACTGGGCCAATGGAAGTTTGGTAATAAAAGTAATTGTGTGTGAGGTAGAGCGTTAGACTGGAAGCTAGGTAGCAGATAAAGAGGACTGGGGAAGGTATTTCCCCTTATAGCTTGCTTTGAGTCTCTTTCATAGAAAAAAGTAGGATGTGTAGCCCAAGCCTTTGTGATAGGCAGGCAAGATACCGCATCTGTGTCAGGTAGATTTACGTCATACTGTACACACAAAGAATCCTGGCCATCTTATATTTTACCTGTTTTCTCTCTGACATCTAGTCTCTAGTACTGAGACCCTAGTCTGCTCCCCATACAGGTAATCCTTGAATTACAACCGTTCATTTAATGACCATTTTAAGTTACAACGGCACTGAAAATAGTGATTTATTACCATTTTTCAGTGTTACAACCTTTGCATCATCCCCACATGCTCATGTGATCAAAATTCAGATGCTTCCCAAATTGTTCAAACTTATGACCACTGTAGCGTCCCAGAGTCATGTGATCCTCTTTTGCAACCATCTGACAGACAAAGTCACTGGGGAAGCCAGATTCACTTAACAACCAGGTTAATAAATTATCAAGTGTTAAAGTGATTCACTTAACAACTTTGGCAAGAAATGTCATAAAATGGGGCAAAACTCACTTAACAAATGTCTCACTTAACAACAGAAATTTTGGGTTCAACTGTGGTTGTAAGTCAAGGGCTACTTTAACTGCATTTTAGTATCTCTAATTCACAGCTAATTCACAGATAAGCATTGCAAAAATATTTAATATTCTTTATAACAACATGGTAAGTTCTTCTACAATGAAACATTCATTAAGGAACACTTTAAAAAATCCATAAAAAGAAATTTCAAAAGAGTTAAAAAAGAAAGGAACTTACTTATACTTCTACAAATTACCCCTTATCAGAACCACTAAGAAATGCTTAATAAGCCAATAACTTCTCTGATACACTTGAATCATTACACAGACATTAGACAAACAATGGTGGTAGCGATTATTGCTTCAAGGACTAATTTTATTACCAAAGACACCTGGGAAGATAGCCAAATAAAATTCAAGACCTTGTGTCTTGAATTTTACAATGGTGTTAAAAGTTTTTGGTCTGCCTAGAATTGTGTAAATCAGCATCTCGGAGGAAAAGATACCTTACCTTTGTCAAGATGAAAAGTGAGAAGCCTATAAAGAAAAAGAGAGCATCCCAATCAAACCCCTATTAGTCAGAGAGTATCAGACTCTGAATTTAAAATCTTGCTACTCATGGGGGGGGGGTGTTGAGAACACGGTACAGGTAATCCTCGACTTACGACCACAAATCAGCCCCAAATTTCTGTTGCTAAGTGAGACATTTGTTAAGTGAGTTTTGCCTCATTTTACTCTGACTTTCCTTGTCACAGCTGTTAAGTGAATTACTTCCGTTGTTAAATTAATAACATGGTTGGCTTTCCCATTGACTTTGTTTATCAGAAGATCACAAAAGGTGATCACATGATCCGGGGACAATGCAACCGTCATAAATATGAGTCAATTGCCAAGCATCTAAATTTAATCACATGACCATGGGGATGCCGCAACAGCCGTAAGTGTGAAAAACGGTCATAAGTCATTTTTTTCGTTGCCATTGCAACTTCAAACAGTCACTAAACAAACTGTTTTAAGTCGAGGACTACCTATAACTGATTTCATGGGTTTCCAAAAGCAGCAAACTGACCGAATTTCATCTTCAGTTCATTCTTTGAAGCAGGACCCTGAACTCTACTTCAAATTCCTGTCTGCTCTGGTCTTTATAAACCAGAACTCATGAACATGGTGACTAGAGATAGTTTGCAAACAAGCCAAATAAAAAAGATCAAAGCAACAATGGTTAAACTAGACAACATCAACTCACTAGGATGGAAGCCATCACAGCCTTGAATTCTAACATAAGAAACAGAGCAAAATACAATCTCTATCTACAACTTGATGTACAACTAATCCAAGCTGATCAAAAGGCAAAAAATAAAATTATTTTTTTTTCATTTTCATAAACGATGGGCTGTTTTATTATGTATTTATAATCTAATATCTGTTAGACAATGAGGCCACAAAGTAAGTGCTACATTCAGGAAGTCATGAAAAGAATATAGGTAACCAACGTTCTGGAGGCTTCAAGAAAAATATAATGGTTGAGAGATATCAATTCTCTATTTACATGATACTGAGACAAAGACAAAGCAACAGGGATATCACAACACTGAAGATTCTGGAATCTACAGTAGTGGCCAAAATTGTGGAAATCTTTTGG